GTCAACATAAAAACAAGTGAATTGTTATAGGGAGTATGCCAGTTTAAACAGGTGGGTTTTGAGTGGGGACTTGAATGATGTGATGGAGTCTGACTGTGTTATGTGTGGGGGGAGGGAGTTCCAGAGCCTGGGTGCTGAGCAGCTGAAGGCTCTGGCACCCATGGTACTGAGTTTTGACCTGGGGACGGTTAGCAGTCCAGCAGAGGTTGAGCTGAGGGTCCGGGAGGGAGTGTATTCATGAAGGAGGTCGCAGAGATAAGCTGGGGCTAGGTTGTGGAGAGCTTTGTAGGTTAGGAGAAGGTTTTTGTAGTGGATGCGGTATTGTACAGGGAGCCAGTGGAGTTGGATGAGAACAGGGGTGATGTGGTCTGATGATTTGGTACCGGTGATGATCCAGGCGGCCGAGTTCTGAATGATTTGCAGTCTGTTAATGAGTTTGGTGGGGAGTCCGGTGAGAAGGGCATTGCAGTAATCGATGCAGGATGTGACAAATGCGTGAACCAGGATTTTGGTGCTGGATTGGGTCAGTGATGGGCGGAGTCTGGAAATGTTGCGGAGGTGGAAAAATGCAGTCCGAGTCATGTTTTGAATATGGGGTGCAAATGAAAGGGTGCTGTCCAGAAAGACGCCGAGGCTCTTGACTTGGGGGGTGAAGGGTACAGGGAATCCGTCGACGATGATGGGTGGAGCTGGGGTGAGTTGTGATTTAGGGTGGATTTGGAGCCGATGAGCAGGGCCTTGGTTTTATTGCCATTCAGTTTCAGAAAGTTTCTGGTCATCCAGCTCCGGATGTCACCAAGGCAAGTGATGAGGGAGGTGGGAGGGATGGCAGCAGTGGGTTTGGAAGAGATGTAGACCTGTGTGTCATCGGCGTAGCAGTGAAAATGGACCCCATGGTGACGGAGGAGAGAGCCCAGGGGGAGGAGGTAGATGGTGAAAAGAAGTGGACCCAAGACTGACCCCTGGGGGACACCCAGTGAAACACCTGAACACCCAGACTTGTGGTTCCTTAGTTGCACGAATTGTTGGCGGTCAGTGAGGTAAGATGTGAACCAGGAGAGTGCAGCACCAGTGATCCCAATGCCAGCCAGGCGGTCCAGGAGTAGAGGGTGGGAGAGATGGTATCGAACGCTGCGCTGAGGTCGAGGAGGATGAGAATAGTGAGTAGTCCAGAGTCAGCTGCACAGAGGAAGTCATTGGTTATTTTGACCAGGGCTGTTTCGGTGCTATGTTTTGGCCGGAAGCCGGATTGGAAGGGTTCATGGAGGTTGTTTGTGTCGAGGTGGGACTGTAATTGTGCGGCAACCACCCTTTCAAGTGTTTTGGAGATGAAGGGGAGATTGGAGATGGGCCGGTAATTGTTAAGGACAGCTGGGTCAGCACCAGGTTTTTTCAGGATGGGTGTGATGGCAGCCAGTTTTAGAGTGGGCGGTACAGTACCAGTGGTGAGGGAGGAGTTAATTATGTTGGTAATCATGGGGGAAATAGACGGCAAGATGAATTGCAGCCTTCATAAGTGCACTGATAAGGGGGCAGATGGTCGTACTGCTCACTTTGGTGGGACTTAAGCTGCTTGCTCCTCCTGAACTCAATCCTGCAGCCCCCAATCTTACACACGAACATGCTTTATCAAAAAGGAACATTTTAAGTATAACCTTAAATACCTCCTGAACCCGAAGTGGGAGCTGACTCTACAAGAACTTACAGACTGTAGAAACCACGAAAGAGCCTGATTGGGATATTAACCTCTTCAATATGTGATGCAGCTTGATTATTAAGGGCTTTGTGTGTGAAGAGCAGGATTTTCTATTCTAAATTTATTAGGGAGCCAAATCAGAGAAGCTAAGACGAGAGGAATATAATGTCTTCATTTAAATGTGTTACAATTTGGACACAAGGTACGTTCAATATTAATAACAACTGAATAGACAGATGACCAGCACTCTGTAGCAACGGTGGCCATTGGACTTATTCAATTCAATTTTATTTGTATAGCGCCAAATCATAATATACATTAACTCAAGGCACTTTACATAGAAGGTCAAGACCTTAAAATCTTATTAATATACAGAAACCCAACAGTTCCCACAATGAGCAGCACTTTGGCGACTGTGAAGAGAAAAACTCATTAACAGGGAGAAACCTCTAGAACCAGACTCAATGTGAGCGGTCATCTGCCTCGACCGGTTGGGGTGAGAAAAGAAAAAAGGGAGGGGAGATGAGTGGAAAAGAGGGGAGAGAAGTTAGAGAGATAGTGGGGAGATGGAGGGGGAGAGAGAGAAAATGAAAACAATAACAGTGTAAAGACGTATTGATTATTATTGATAAAAGTAACAATTCATATAATAATTAATTACTGAAGTATTGTTGTTAATTACAATAATAATAATAATAATAATAGTTGTTGTCCTACAGTTCTGGAGTCAGAGATACCTGCAATGAGAGAGAGAAAGAGAGCGAGAACGACTATGGAAGAACAATGTATTGATAATAATAGATGTATTGAAATAAATAAATGAATGTGGACTGAAAACCTACCCCCTGGTGCAGAAGCATCATTGGCTCAATGGAAAACACTCAACCGCCTCAGAACGAGAACGGGCTGATCCAAAGATGCTCTGCTCAAATGGGGCTTCAAGACTGGCCCAACCACCATGTGAATGTGGAGAAGCACACCATACTATGGAACACTGTCTTGTCTGCCCTTTACTACCCAACCCTTGCAGCCCAAAAGACCTTGCAGTGTTCAACAAAAACGCAAAGGACTGTGTAAAGAAATGGGAAACTGCCATATAAGTATCACGCTCCAGTGAAACGAAAAGAAGAAGAATAATAGTTGTTGTCCTGCAGTTCTGGAGTCAGAGATAACTGCAATGAGAGAAAGAGAGAGAAAGAGGGACTATGGAAGAAAAAAGAAACATAGTCACTGACAGGTATTAAAATAAATAAAAGAGTGTGGGGGGGCAGAGAGACAGAGAAGTCTAGAAGTGCTCAGTGCATGATGGGGAGTTCCCCCTGCAGTCTAGACCTATAGCAGCATAACTAAGGGATGGTTCAGGACTCACCTGATCCAGCCCTTACTATAGGCTTTATCAAAAAGGAATATTTTAAGTTTAACTTTAAATGCAGAGATGGTGTCTGCCTCCTGAACCCAGAGTGGGAGCTGGTTCCACAGGAGAGGAGCCTGGTAGCTGAATGCTCTACCTCCTGTTCTACTCTTACAGACTCTTGGAACCACAAGAGAGCCTGTGTTTTATGAATGAAGTGATCTATTTGGATAATACGGTGTTATCAGGTCTTTGATGTATGAAGGGGCTTGATTGTTAAGGGCTTTATATGTGAGGTGCAGGATCTTGAATTCTATTATGTAGAGAAGCTAAGACAGGAGTAGTGGACTAGTTTCTCAGCATCCTTCTGAGACAGGATGTTTCTAATAATATTGCGCAGGTGGAAGAAAGCTGTCCTAGAGACTTGTTTTATGTGTTGGTCAAATGACATGTCCTGGTCGAACATAACTCCAAGGTTCCTCACAGTTGAGCTGGAGGCCAAACTGACCAACTTATCAACTCTAGTGATGTTGTTGATCACAACAACAGGGCGTTTACTGCAATAAATACGATTCATAAATACGGCAAATGACAGCAGATTCTCCAGTTCAGGGTTCTATGGGATTGAATAAACACGTTTTGAACAACAAATTGAACCAAACAAAATCTCAGGTTTGGTGGCCTTGCATGCTGAGATATTGAAAAGTCTGTAATGAATGTCAGTCTGTTTCAGTTTTCAGTCTGAAACATACTTTGTTCTGTATAAAAAAGCTTCTATAAATATTATGACATTGATTGAAATTAGTTATATTAAATACACTGCTCAAAAGAATTGCCCAACAACACCTGGGCATGCTCCTGATGATTTTGCAGATGGTGTCCTGGGAAATCTCCTCCCAGACCTAGATCAGGGCATCAGTGAGCTCCTGCACAGTCCTGCACAGTCCTGCCTCCCCCGACCATCACTGACCCACCGCCAAACCGGTCATGCTGGATGATGTTACAGGCAGCATAATGTTCACCGCAGCTTCTCTATCTCTCTTAAGGTCTTGACCTTCTATGTAAAGTGCTTTGAGATAATGTATATTATGATTTGGAGCTATATAAATAGAATTTTAATGAATCTCCAGACTTTGACATTCGTCACCCTCATGGAGTCTGTTTCTGACAGCTTGTTCAGAAACATGCACACCAGTAGCCTGCTGGAGGTCATTTTGTAGGACCCTGACAGTGCTCCTCCTTGCTCCTCCTCACGCAAAGGAACAGACACCGGTCCTGAGCTGGGTTGATGCCCTTCTACGGCCCTGTCCAGCTCTCCTTGTGTAACTGCTGGTCTCCTGGTATCTACTCCATATTCTTGATTGGGCTTCAGGTACCGCCTCATGCTACCAGTAGTGACAAGGACACAAGCAGAACACAAGACTAAGGAAGCATCCGTCGGGAAGGATAAGAAGAGAGCAGCTGTCTGTAAAACCATTCCCTTTTTGGGGGTTGTCTTGCTTTTGCCTCCATTGCACCTGTTGTCACTTTCATTTGCACCAAAGCTGGTGAAACTGATTCACAATCACTTGTGCTTCTTAAATGGACAGAATGATATAACTGAAATTTAAATGACTTGGTGTTATACTCTGGTGATTAAGTGTCTCCTTGATTTTTTTAAGCAGTGTATATATGAAATCAAACTGACAATGTGACATCTGGTGTCACTGGATAGATGAATGGGATGTGATGGATATTTCACACCTGGCAAATTGGATGGGAAATGCACATTCAGTACCCACCTTTCTGAATCACCCCCAACTATTTATAGTCTAACAGCTTGACCTGATGCAACAAAATGATCATGATCAACCAAAAGAGGAATTAAGATATAACAAAAAATAACAAGAGAATTACCAGCAGAAAGGAGTTCACATTAAACAAATTAATAAAATAGATTTATTTACAGGTTGATCTGAATTGCAATATTCAAAAGTGCGACATTTAAATATTACATTGACATTATTTAAAAACACAAATTAGATCATCTCAAAACGAACAACATAAATATGGAAAAATGCAAGTTGACAGAAGTAAAGCAACCAGTTAATCATCTCTCATAAACAGACACAAAGGCGCCTTTAAAAAATGGCAGTTGGCAGCAACACTTTGAAGACAATATGTGCAAAATCTCTGAAACATAATATGTGCTCATACATGCAAATATATTTCAACAATATTACACTGCACATGTAAATGTTTAGTTTACAGCATTTCTTATGAAGCTCTGAAGGTCTGGGAATGAAACATAAACTTCAAATTACATCAATATTAATGTACACATGCAAAGTTTGCAAATTAAGTCACAGATCCATATTTGTACTGATATGATAAATATTACAGAGAGCATACTTACATTTTGTGAAGGGACACTTATGGTTTTATGAGAGGTTATCTTGCGTTATCGCACACGCGCGCAAGCCCATCCCCACACACAACACTTTTGGTTTGACCTTCAGCTCATAACCTACATTAAGAGGCATGAATAACTGGAACCAACTTCATCTGCAGAACAATTTTAATATGATGAGGTAGCATAGCCTCATGGTTACTGCATTTGATTTGTGGTGATGTACTAATCGTCTCAGAGCAACAGTGAAAATACAAACTCTAAATATTAATTATCAAATATAAATGGAAATAAGCATCATGAGATTTTCTAATTCCGACAACAAAGGAAGTCAGTGTCCTTATAGACTGTAGACTTGGGGTGGAGAACCTTATTGCTCCAGGCCCTCCTATACAGCCCACAAAATCATTTGTAAATACACGAAAGCAACAATAAATACGAAAACAAATCTCTGGAGAGCCAGTATCTTTTTCTGCAATAAAAGAAAGTAACTTAAAATGTGTCCTTTAGGGTGGTGCGATCTTCTTGCCAAGAAAAGTGATATGTGGTGAACGAGTGACAACTGAAAAGCTGAAATCTCATTCAGAGGAAGAATGTATGAAGGAGCCTTGTTAATGCTGCAGAGCCGCTTTAACTAGACAAAGTACATTTTTTCCAACAGGTCAGTTTTTCTCAAAGAACAGTGCAGATAAATGATTCTGTTTCTCCCTAGTCTGCGATGAAACAACAGACAGTTTTAGCTTCATATCAATACCATCAGTCACTTCGCCAGTTTAATCATGAAGGCTGTTACAAACATTGAAATGGCCCTTGATAGGACAAGGGTATTTTACTACTGGATTTAAGCTTTACCTGGACAATACAGAAAAATCTTCATTGAGACCTCTCTGTCCTTCCACATGCATGTGTGGAAAGCATACATTAGGAGGGCACACCTCCTTACATGAGTCTTCATGGAAAGTGAGACAAGGAGAGCAGAAGCTGAAAGATCCCAGCACAGAACAGAGCAGGCATCAATGACAACACATGACTTTGATTAGGTAGGATTCAGAATGAAAAGGAGGTGCTGGGGTTGTAAAGTAGCTTGTAAGCAGTCAGAGTAGGCAGAGTAAAGTAGCTTTAATAGAGTGTGCAATATAAGCTCAACCAATTAAATGCCTAGGAAGGGATCAGCTGAGCCATCAGCTGATGTGGGCTGGCATAGACATCTACTGCTTTCAGCTGACATACTAGATTGTGGCTGAACTTCACTTCATGACTTGCCTGAACTAAAGATATGCTCAATTAGAAATAGAACTGGGAGAAGCTCCTGAAAATAGTCCCAAAAATAAATGACACTTATTCCTATAATCCTATACCGTAACAAAGTTAGACAGACATGCTAACACATGTCCAAAGAATCATCAAGCAGGAGAAAGTTTGTCTCTCCTACCATGGTTCCTTAACATTGTCTGAATGAAGGTAAAAAGGCAAAAAATAGAACAAAAAAGTATTTTAAATAGGGGCAACCTAAGACAGCATGTTCAACTGTTTGCTTTGTCTGGTGAGACACAACTAACTCTGCAATGTCACACAGAATACAGTTATTGTCATGTCCAATATCAAAACTTATGGAAGTCTAAACCATAGACTCGTTTATTATTGGAATAATCAGATGCAAAAGGGAATCTGAGTCAACGAGACTTGAGTTTGTGTTGTGTTGTACTGCTGATGTTAATGATCTTTGTATTTAGTGTGGAATCTCTCTAACAAGGCTCTCAGGATGTTCCCTGGGATCTGTTGATGCTGGTCTATCAGAGACTGGACAGCCTGCTGCACCTGCAGAGCAAAAAGACTGGTTAGCAGCAGATATGAGCGAGTGATGTTTTGTGGAAAAGCTCATATTTCTGCAAACATTCAGCTGGAAAACTCAAATTCAGAGCAGTGAATTTTATGTTCACTTTGTGCCTGCAACTGTTATACTAACTATACTTGTTTATTCTAACAGCAGTACTTTATAACAGAATGAATGCAGCATTTACATTTACTCATTTTGTCAGATGCTTTAATCCAAAGCGACTTACAATTTGTGGACCACACTAAAGCTTCAATACAGTGGGAGCATGCAAAATTCGTTCAAAAGACAAAGTTTAGGGGATGAGATAAAGAATCTTCAAGAGGTTTTGTAAGGTTGAAAGGGACGCTCGTGCTCTAATAACATTTGGCTGTTCAATCCACCATCGAGGAAGTCTGGACTGTGATTGCTTGGTGGGTTTGTAGGATTGGCAATGCCAGATGCTATGGTCATCCTAGAGTTGATGTGAATACTGCCACCATATTTGAAGAGATTTCCTCAAGGTGTTCATGGGAAATTTTGTTCACTGGGCCAAAATGTATTTTGCGAGGTTGTAGTATTCTTGACCTTTCTTAGTCTTGCCCCCCTGTTAGAGGCCTATGTGACTTGGTTACACAGCTGATGTCCATTGGACAGCCCTGCTTTTCTTTGACATCACTGGAGCGAAGCCTGTAATAGGTTAGAGGGCAGTGACATGGACTAATTACACAATCAATCTCAGGTCTGGTAAAACCATCATAAAATTAAATGGCACAATGTGTACTTAGGGCATAACAATTGTGGTCCGATAAGAAAAACATAAACTTGATTGATTCACATAAAAAGTGAATGTTTACGCAAAATATGAATGGATTTCCTCATGGAGTTCAGGAGATTTTACAAAAAAGCAAAGCAAAATATTTGCTTTGGGAGGTCAAAGTGACCCAGATTTTTGACCTCGGCCACTGGCTGTTGCCACCTGGAGGTCTGCCAAACACAAGAGAGGAAATTAAAGAGAAATGCAGCTCTCAGCTCTTACTTTCTCCGCCAGTTCTGCAGCATTTATGTTGGGGTCATACTGGATGGGATCCCCAAGGAAGGTTCGGAATTTCACAGGAAATCCACCATAAACAGGTGCTGCAGGTAGACGGAATCTCTCATACACCCAGCGGAAAAATCCTGGACAGAGTGAGAGACAGGGGGTCATACTTGGTGTCCCATACAGAGAGGAAATAAGACCGCAGACGTTAATAAATGAACAGGCTATACTTTACTATTCATATCTACTCCACATTCAAATCAACAGTGAATGTTTGCTATTGTATCAAGGCCTGATAGATCTTGTTCCTCTGTCCACAGAACTGAACATACTCATTTACTGCCCTGTGGCTAGTAATACTTTAAACCCATGTTACTTAAAGGTCCAAGATTTAGGTGAAAGAGAACTATTGGCAGAAATTTGATGTAGAATAATCCACATGATGTTGTAGTTTTCTTTACCCCAGAAAAGGCCCTTTATATTTAAATACTTTATATTTACATCGAGGGGACCCTCTCTATGGAGGCCGCCATGTTTTTGACATTAGTCCAGACTGGACAAACTAAACACCTTTTGAGTTTTTATGACAACTGAAGTTACCACAGTTTCTTTTTCATGTTTGGAAGGAGAGGGTGAGGTGAGGGGTGTTCAGCTGCAACATGCAATTTCAACATTCAACATGGCAACAATGTCAAAATACAACACCTGCATGGTGTGACCTGTACTATGTTTTCCTCTGTGTGTGTGTGTGTGTCTGTGTTTTTGTGTGAGTGAGAGTGAGCTAGAGAGAGAGAGAGATCTGTGTGAAGTTCAGGATGGCTGTTCATCATCTTGGTGATCCTATTTCTGCGATTTAACTTCCTTCTACACTTACTGAGAGTTCCCAAAGACCTGAAGCCCTCTCGCACATTCTGAGTAAACATTGGAATTACTGGCTGAAAAACAAAGAGCAGAAGAAAGAGACGATTAGAGAGAAAGATCTTCTACTCTGTAGAACAGAGAATAAAGATGCTGCACAGGGACATTATGACACCTGTGCTGTTTACTATAGGCTTAAAGGAAGAACAATCAGAGGTCGGTTGTTTTCAGGGACAACAACGCACCACTTGAGAGTCGATGGCAACTTGGGCAAAGCCTTTGCGTTTGCCCCAGAGAAGAGGGTAGGTCTCATCACTGAGCAGAGCCTCCCGCACTCCTCCTGGGGAAATACCCAACAGGTGACCATTCTTCAGAGCTCGCACACACTCCTCCTGAGGGCCATGGATCACACTGAACACTTCCAACAGTAATTTGAAACCTGGAGGAACAGGGTGGAGATGGGTTCAGACAAAGATGAGAAATAGGATTAAGCAGGTATCAAAACAATTTGGAAATATTACCTACATAAATACATCTAAAGTAGGTGCTCATCATACAATGATTAACTCTTGATGTAGCTTGTCTACTTTGCAGGTTACACAGGGTGATTTATCAGAGCGTGATGTTTGAGTGAAACTAATAAATATAATTTATTCACTTGAGGTCTTTACACACTGAGGTGATGTTGTTTTAGTGCAACTAATTTGAATGTTAATATAATTTTTCAAACTGTGGTTTGGTCATGTCAACTTTCGCGGAGAATAGTGAAGGTGAACATTCTTAGATGAAAAAGGGCCAATCTTTTCGAAGGAGGCAGATTTTTCCATACTTTCAAAGAGTGAAAAAATGCATCAACCAATCAACGTAGAATATAGTAGTTCAGACAGAGGTCAGATGCTGGTCGGATCCTGGTCTGCTCCTCTGCCACCACAGACTTCAGACTGTCCCACAAATATGTCCTGAGCCAGGGCCATAGTGGACCTCCAGCTCCAGTATGAGGCAGGGAGTTTTGACTCAGGAGGATTTTATCAATACACCAACTTTTCCTCCTCATCTTAGCGTAAGAATTTTTCTTTATTTCAGTTATTTTCAGTGTTTTGTTTAGTTAGGGTCTGAACTTTAAACTCTACACCATATTAATACAGTAACACAGCTCATCTTGTTTTTGTGTTTGGTAGAGATTGATGGTTGTTTCCTATATACTGTCCTTCCATTATTAAGAACATAAAATACTTTACATTGTTGAATATAATCTTAAAGTCCAAGCAGATGCTTGAGATTCATCTAACCCCTCACGCATGTGAAAGAACGTAAAAACAACACACTGCATTTATCATGAAGTGAGCATAGTGTATCCATATGTGGTCATGATGATACAGTGCGAGTACCTGGAATCTTGAAGAGGAAGTGGTCAGCTACAGAGTGACAGGTCCGTCCTTTCTGGATTATAACATTGGCCAGGAAGTAGTAGTAGTCGATAGGAATCGCTCCATGATAGTACACGATCAGTGCTGGTCCTTTGTCAGGAATTTTCTCCAGCCCATGGATCTCATAGCCTGATACACAGGTCACAGTATGCAGAAATTAGCAGTATTTATGATTCATGTATCTTAGATACGTATTTAAAATACGTATTTGAAATACACAATAGCTTTTTCAGTAAAGGCTGAATGTTGGCTTTCTTAAAATAATCAGGGAAACAGCCGGAAGACAGAGAGCAGTTAATCATTTTGAGAAGGCTCCGGCCAACAGCACCAAATACTTCTTTTAGGAGTGAGGTTGGGAGGATGTCAAGAGGGCTGGAAGGTGAGATGAGACACAGCGTCGACAAGCTCAGAATGAGACACTTGCTGAAAATGATTAAGGAGCAAAGGACAGGCAGGAAGATCTATTAGTTCTGGTGTCAATGACTTTTTCCCTCAAAAAAGATCAACCTTTCACAGTCAGAATTTGAAGTGGCTAGGAGGGCAGAAGGAGCAGTGTTTTGGGGTTTGAAAAGGAAATTGGGATGATGATGATTGCTGGTGATAATAATTTGGTCTTGCAACTTTACTTTTTTTATTATAAGAACTAAAGACTATTATTTATACTCATACTTTTGTCTATGAGGTCATTTTAAGTATTTAGGTATTTTAGAGTACTCTGAAGTTGCAGTGCAGTACAGGGCAACTGAAATACACAGAAATAGCAACAAAGCGTGAACATTTTCCATCCATCCATTATCTATACCACTTATACTTTGAGGGCTGCAGAGGGAGCTGGAGCCAATACCAGCTGACGTTCGGCAATCGGCGGAGTTCACCCTAGAGAGGTCACCAGCATATAGAGACAAACAAACATACACACTCAAATTCAAACCTACAGTCAGTTTAGAGTGTCCAATTAATGTAACTGTGGGGAGACTCAGGGTACCCTGAGAAAACATGCAAATTCAGAAAGACCCTGGTCAGGATTCCAATCACCTTGCTTTGCACCCCAGCATATAAATATTTAATGTTTAATTGAAATAAAAGTAA